CCAGACTCATGGCCCCAATGTCGAACTCAACAAAACTGTTCACAAGTCAATCAAAGTGGTCATCCAAAACCTCTTTATGCCGGGAGTCTTTTTGTTGTTGCCTATAGGGGAACAAGCAAACGTTCACGGCTATGTCCACTTGGCAATCCCAAAGTGCCTTCAGTGGCATCTGCGAGTCTTGGTAATATACTTACGGCTGAAAGGGCATGGGTGTTGGAGGTTCTTTCAATCCAAATACGGTGTTGGTTTGAACCTGTTTGGATAGCATTGGATCAGTCTTACCCAAAATGAAAAGCCTGGAAGATTTAAGCTCTGCCACATCCCTCAGAAACCATTTGGTTCAAGTTAAAAACTTGTTGGTGCCAACCATGTCGGACAGCCCACCAGCTCTAGCGTCCTCACCAGCATCTCCTGTGGCCGATTCCAGCGAGTGGATGCACGTTGGGCCAGAGATGGGGGAGGCGGAGTATGTTGTTGCCTTACAGAAGTTGGGCATTCAAATGGCTGCCAGCATCCCACAGAAGCTCCAGGAACGGGCTGTGACTCCATTATCGGTTCAACCCGAGTGTGATCTGCTCATAGGTGATTTCAAATGCAAAACCAAGGAAAGAGACTTGTTTCCTATCCGCACTAATTTCAGGATGTCGGGAGTCAGGGATTTTGAAAGAATTTGAAACAGTGTTTGTTTGATAGGACCCCCACATAACTCTACCAATTCCAGCTGGGTTAAGATGTCCATCTAAGGTTGAAGAACTACTGGTGCATCTACTCAATCTTGAAGCTGCATACATTTCGATCCCGCCACCCATCGAAACCGGAGCTGATGATTGTGATGGAATCATTCAACGACCATTTCCAGGCAACAAGCCATGCATATATTATAAGTATCCAACCCAAATCAGAAATTTATTAAAGTTTGATTATTGATGTTTCCCAATTACAATATGCAAACCATCCCAAGCTCCATGCAGGGCCTTGCTATCCGAGCTGATGAGCACACAGCTGCTTGGCTGCCTTATGTGCTGTCCCATGTCAGGGCACATTCAAAAAATCATGGGTCAGGGCACATTCAAAAAATCAAACAGGGAACACTGATGATCCATTTGTGCGCTCCAAAGGATACACAGACCAAAATGAAGAACACGGTGGGGAAGGTTCAGAAATTGTGGTCTGGACTTCGCAGGACATATGGTGGGATGTTAGTGTGAACCATTCGTCCCTTTCAAAACCTTTATTCAACAGAAATGTCCACTAAATGGAATCCTGAAGCTTTCAAGGATGCCTTGAATGAGATCAAACCAGAACCTGTGGATGTGGAGCCAGCTCATGGCTCCAAGTCCAAGAAGCGTAAGTCCAAGTCCAAGTCCAAGTCCAAATCCCGTACCAAGCGAGCTAAGGGGGGTCATGATACTTCTACAGAAGCTAGAGCTGGTTCTGTGGATAGAGAACAGGTGCTGCAATCGTTTGATCAAAAGTACCAGGATGTGATCAAAAGTCTCCCACATGTTCTGTGGCCAACGTCTACGAAGCATGGTGAACACAGCTACACGGCGACCCTTATCTTCCAACCCAAGAATACTTTATGATTCGGGGTTAGTTGAAATCATGGTATGTCTTATGGTCACTATAGGCTGGTAGGCTGGGGACTCATACCTCAAAACCATTCAGCTAAGGAGAGTGGGCGAAGCCAGAGTGGAAGTGCTTCTCAGGCAGCAGGCGCTGAAACCCAAGTCAGATGTTCAGGGCAACAAGCTTTCGGGTGAGAAGGGAAAGTCGACACTTGGGTCAGATTGAACAATATGTTATAACCTCAAGCTCCACAATTTTCTTTCCGGGAAGACCAGTAGAAGGGAACCCCAACTCACTATACCCAAAGCTAGCATTCAAACATAATATCAACAGCCCGTGATGCACGGCCTGTCTTAGGATGACGTTCGCCAAGAACATCAAGGATACCTGGGATCAGGTGCGAAAGAACATGGGCATGGCTGACCCAGAGGAAGTTGATTAAGTAATTTTCAATCGTGGTGGCTGAAAGCCTGCCATATGACATCAGAGTGTTGCAGGCATGGCTACATACACTAGTAGGATCGCTGGAAGGGTGGCAATGAAATGAGCCAGTGCATTCCAAATTCCACTATCATGCTTTCACAGAATCACAGAATTTGTGGTGGTTTGATGCTGACCTTCCAAAATTCTGAGATGCAGCGTAGTCTAGGGGAAGCGATGGGGCGCCTCCTTTCTTAGCCACACTGCGTGTGTTATCACAACAGTTTGAACGCCTGTGGCAGTGAGATGTGAAAATATGATGCCAAAGATTGAGCCACGGGGATATCAGCAAATTAAGTGACAATCGTTGGGTTTATGGGAACACCAAAGAATGGGGGCCAAATAAGAAACCTAACCCATCCAGATTCTTCAGCCTTACATCCATTGCTACCATCAACCGTGGTCAACCGTGCCCGCTCAGGAATTGCATGGTGTGCAGATGCTGCATTTGTCTCCTCATGTGTTGCATCACCAATACACCATTTATATTGGAGCAGCCTGGGAGTTCACTTTTGGAGTGGCACCCATATTTTCAACTGCTGTGTCGGCGATTCAAAATCTACCGCGTGCCATGCCCTAAACAAGTTGATATGATTAGATGAAGAATTCAGCCCCAAAAGTTAAGGAGGTCATGTGCCATCTGGAATCGATCCTAGGTATTTGTATGGCTTGGATCCTTCGGAGGAGGCAGTGCCTGGTCAGGAATTATGGGCCCCACCATGCTGGAAAATTAAGGGAAAACCATTGGTTTCAACACAGGATGTTTTCGGGACCCTGGAATATCCTTGAGGATTGCCATGGCCCATGCATTCAGGTCCAAAGCCGACGTTGCTGTACTCCAACTATCAATGGATTCAATCCCTCTACTTGCCACTGCCGAGCAATGTGGAATGGACATCGGAGATGAGCCGGAAGCACCTGGGAACCGAATAGGTGTTTAGTGCTATGGGTCTCCCATAAATAGTCTGATAGATAGATATATATATATGTATATATATATAACCGGTGAGTATGTACTATATATATATGTATGTATATATGTATGTATGTATGTATGTATGTATGTAAGTAATGAAATGAAATGAAATGTAATGTAATGCAATGCAATGCAATGTTATGTTATTTTATGTTATGTTATGTTATTTTATGCATTATGTGATGTATGTATGTATATGTGCACCACACCTATCAGTACCATATAGAGTCATCCCACCAACCCAACCCAACCCAACCCAACCCAACCCAACTCAACCCAGGTATATCGATGGGTCAGGAATTCTGCGTGTTTGCGGGGGCAGTGACCTGAAGAACAGCCAATACTACCCGAAGCTCTTCGGACATGCTGTGGCACAGGCCTTTCAGGCTCATGCGAAAGAGGTTCAGGATTCTGTGAAAACCCAACTGATGCTCGGTTCAAGTTGGCTTCCCAACATCAGCTCCCAACAGCCATTGACAGGCAATCAATGGTTTCTCAACCGTATGCCAGTTATGACATAATTCGGCTTCGCATCAGGCATGCAGGTCACACTGTATACCCTTACTTAACATATCAGCATTAGCATAAGACATTGTGGTCAGTATCCGGCCCAGGAAAAAACTCCAAAAGATGGAAAAGCCAATCCGGCGTATGAAGGACTGTGCATTTCATGGGGCTATCATGGGCCATTTACACACACACATATATATATATATATTGTGTATGGCATATATGTATCATTATATGTGTACATATATTATATGTATATAAATGTAAATATACATGTGCAGTGCATATGTTAGTATATTTATAGATACATGTATATTTAGCATATATATATATCCAATATGCCATATATATATATATGGTCCTTTTGTAAATATATATATATATATATATATATAACCAATATGCCATATATATATGGTCCTTATATCTATATAATATGTTTTACATATATGTAAAACATATCATACAGAAAGGACCATATATATATATATATATATGGCATATTGGTTTATATTCCAAATCAATCCAAAGCAGATCCCCAGAATACCCAGTGATTGAGGTTTCAGATCCCCAGAATACCCACCAGTTGTCCAGCTCTAATCCCAGTGATTGAGTTTTGGGGATATATCAGCACAACCCCTTATTATCCCATCAATCATCACCAGTCTGTGGAGTCTGGGAATTCCGGTGCAGGATCTTTCATGGGCTTCTTCAGCTGACCTGCCGCAAGTCTTGGAAGCCCTGCGATCCTAGATGGATCTATAGCAATGCTGCCACTAATTCGGGGGCTTGTGCAGCCCGGGAATGGAAACCATGACCCAGAAGCAAAATATATTGGGATTTCCCTCAGGCTTGGATCTATAGGAGCTAACTTTTTGATTTTGATCCAAAAAAAAACAAACTTTGTGGAGAAATTGCAATTTTTGATGAAACAATCAAAATCCGAGAATCCGGGAAAAAGCCGAGAATCACCCAAGAATAGCCGGGAAATTTCTTGGATTTTGGAGCAGCTCGGAATTTTGGAAAATCACACACATTTTCCCCGAAATTGCCCAAGAATGTTCTCGCATTCTCGGATTCTTGGTTTCCCGGTTTCTCGGTTTCTCGGTTTCTCGGGGTGTTGTTCTATGTTATTCTATGTTGTTCTCGGTTTCTCGGTTTCTCGGTTTCTCGGATTCTCGGTTTCTCGGTTTCTCGGTTTCTCGGATTCTCGTTTTCTCGGATTCTCGGTTTCTCGGATTCTCGTTTTCTCGGATTCTTGGTTTCTCGGTTATATGCTTAGAGGTCTCTGAAGGATTCATTCCCGGAGCTGCATTTTTCAAGCCTATAATAGAAATTCAGAGCGATTCCATTTTGGAGAAATTGATCCCTATATATATGACGAGCGACCATGTAAAAGATATGTCTCTGCTGTCTTGAGAGTGAAGCATTTTAAGTCAAGAGATCATAACATATATCAAGATTATTTCATGAATGTATTTCTAAACCCCAGCCATCTGCGGTCAAGTCTATATAGGTTGGTTTAACCATGGCCAATTCGACGGTGCCCACACATCGAGTCCGTGGGAAGTCAGCCCCCCGGGGCCGGAGTCCAGATCCTAAATCGTTGAAGAAGGCAGCCAAGGCAGCCAAGAAAGAACATGTAGGTTTGGTGACCCCACCACCCAAAACCAAGACAACACCGAGCTCTAGCCAGTCTAGTGCTCCAAAGGAATCATGCAGGAGGAGGATTTCCTTTGGACCGGACACTGTCCATGAGATCGACCCTGAAAACAAGACCAACAAAGACATGAAGATCGAGGAAGCAGATCAAATCCTTGCAAGCTTGAAGAAGGACCCAACGCCTATCATATTTGTGTAGGGCTTTTTTTAGTCCCATCCCACACATTTCAAAACATATCCTCATATTTGTGTATGGCTTATTTTTAGTCCCATCCCACACATTTCAAAACATATCCTCATATTTGTGTATGGCTTATTTTTAGTCCCATCCCACACATTTCAAAACATATCCTCATATTTGTGTTCATCAAAGCCTGCAGGATGGAAAGAAGACAAAGATCAACAAGGAAAGGGAAGCCAGCTCATCGGACGTGGAAGAGATGGAGGCAAGGAAAAGGTGGTGGTCCAGATTTGAAAAGCCAGGGCAGTTCCACAAAGTACCAGGGCTAACTAGAGAGCAGCTTAGAAGCAACCGTAAAACAGACACAGCTTCCATCCCACAAATGCAGCTATGGTGGGAATCCAGAATGCACACTTCGGAACAGGAAACCAAAGTGAAAGAGAAGAAGCGAAAGGAAGGTCAGGATGAACGCAAGAAAAACAAGACAAAGGACAATAGAAGGACAGATGAGAAGAAACCCAAGAGTACCGATGGCAAGACAGACAAAACAGCCGAAGCCAAAGGTAAGTCAGATGGAGAGAAGACCAAGGATACTGACAGGAAAAAGAAAGCCAAGACAGATGATGCAAAGAAAGAAGAGACGACTGATAAGAACGAGAAAGAATGCAAGGATGCCGAGAAGAAAGCTGATTCAGACAGTGAGGAAAGCAGTGAAGACACGGGCAGCAACGGGTCTTCAACAGAGACAGAAGACGAAAGTCAAGGCATCGATGGTGAAGAGATCGAGTCTGGTGAGAGCACCAGTGATGCAGAGGAGAAAAGCGAAGATGAATCATCAACTGAGGCAGAAGATGATGATGAGAGTGAAGATGATGAAATCGATACCGATAGTGAAGACGAGGAATCTGCTTCTGAAAAAGAAGATTCCCAGAAGCCTGTTGGGATTCTAAAGAAGCACAAGGCGCCAGCGAAGACCAAGGAAGAGAAGGAGAAGGAGGGACAGAAGGCCAAGGAAGAGGAGAAAGAGAAGGAGAAGGCGGCACAGAAGGCCAAGGAAGAGGAGGAACAGAAGGAGAAGGCGGCACAGAAGGCCAAGGAAGAGAAGGAACAGAAGGAACAGAAGGAGAAGGCGGCACAAAGGGCCAAGGAAGAGAAGGAACAGAAGGAGAAGGAGGCACAGAAGGCCAAGGAAGAGAAGGAACAGAAGGATAAGGAGGCAAAGAAGGCCAAGGAAGAGAAGGAGGCACAGAAGGCCAAGGAACAGAAGGAGAAGGAGGCACAGAATGCCAAGGAAAAGGAGGAGGCACAGAAGGCCAAGAAGACAAGCCAGAAGACAAAAGACAAGGATCAAGAAGTGGAAGAGTCTAGCGAGGATGAGGAAGAGGAATCTGAAGGCAGCCAGTCAGAGTCAGAGTCAGAACAGACGAAGAAGAAAAAGGACAAGTCCAAGAGGAAGGCCTTGAAGGCAGAGAGCAGAAAGAAGAAGAAAGATAAGAAGATGAAAGACAAGAAAGGCAACAAGGCCAAGACCAATGACAAAGAGACTGAGCCAAAGTTGAAGGAGGTTGAGAAAGACTTGGTCAAAACAAAGAAGCGTGACCGTGATGATGATGATGAAAAGGATGGGAAAAAGAACTCCTCGACCCACAGGAAGGAGTGGCAGACCTTTGGCAGGTGGGTGAAAAACAAGAAGCGATGTCCTGCAAAGATTGCAGCAGCATGCAAAGACCAGGACTGCCTTGATCATTCATACTCACTGGTCATCAAAACCTTTTGGGTGTAAATCTGGGCAACCAATATTACAAAAGAAAACTTTTATACTATAGGGACTATATGGAAGGTACATCAATATATATATAATATATATATATATAATATATATAAATATTAGCCATTGACACTGCCTACATATGCCTACATATGCCTACCACCACCTTGAAACCGTATTCTTTACTTTCCAATCCCAATCTACTTGTCACAGGACACCAGGCTGCGACTGTTCAACGACTACATGGACAACGGAGAGGACTTTGCTGAAGTTGAGGCTATCTTCCAAAGTCGTTTGGAGGAAAGCCAAAGGAGTTCAGTGAAATATGGGTTTAGAAATGACCAATGGCTCATAAAGCACCATGGCGCCAAGAAAGCTGAGAAAATCATGGCTCGCAAGAAGTCGTTGGGGTTGAATCTCGGTTCAAGATATGTTGGCCCCGGGAAAGAATTTGAAGCATCAACCCATCTGGTCCCGGTGCCATGTTTGGTCCTGCCTGCATAGAATCCACCACCAAACTTCTGTAGCTTCCTTGCTCCTGCCAAGGACAATGGAGGACCCGGAATTCCCAGGCGAAGACGAGTTCCTCTACTTCGTCTTCATCGAATTCAACATCGAGGACATCAAGGAATACAAACGTATTACAGCATTGGAAATGACTGGAACCTTGGATCCTGATGGCGTGAAGGCTTTCGTGGATGTTACTCAGCTAAATTGGGACAGTATACTTCACCATAGTACCTATTACCCACAGTTTAATTGGTTGTTTGTTTAGATTGGTCGTCCACCAAGAGTAACCAAAAGTGTCACTAGTAACTAGTATCATCCAACCATCCCTCATGCTGGTCTCATCTTTCCGGATCATTCCCCATCTACTTAGTATCATCCAACCATCCCTCATGCTGGTCTCATCTTTCCGGATCATTCCCCATCTACTTAGGCCGGCGGGTGCTTGGATGGGAAGCAACACTTGGCTCTTGGCGACAAGCTGGGCGCAGAGGGGGTTGCAAAGATGTTGGGTTCTGTTGGCCTGAAGGGTGATGCTTCTGCCACCAAAACCAAGAAGGGCAAAGGTCAGAGGAAACCGAAGGCAAGTGCAAAACAAGAAGCCAAGGAGGCACATACTTAGTCTATCCATGGATTTAGATTTCATGAGTCTAGATTTCGAATGTTTCATTATACCCAGTCAACTCATGAGTCCACCCCATGCCATGGTACAGGTTACGCCGGAGACTCCTTTGGAAAAGGCGGTGAAGCTGCAGGAAAAGGTCCTGAAGGATGCGAATAGCTGCCGGACACCAGACTGCACTATAGTATAGTCAAATGGCTCGATATGGATTGTAGATTATGTTTTTGGATGAATCCTCTTAGATAGATTATTATTAGTCAACAACCTATCTAATAATCTATTAT